TATTATATTGTTATTTGCTCTAAAACAATGTAGTATTTTGAAAAATAGGTGTCCAGAGGAGTGTAAAAAAGGATTGCCTTTGGGCAGTCAGGGACTCTATCCAGTGATATCAGGTCTTGTATTTAGTAGTAACTGTAGATTTTTTTTGAGAATGCAACTTCATGAGGGAAGTGAAGGTATAGGTAGCCAGCTGAAAGTGCCCAGACTCTGTTTCAATCCAATTATAATGGATACATGTTCCAATTGAGGCTTATTTTCCAGTAAATAAGACAAATGTTGGGCATCTATGTAGACTTACCAAGGTGTCAGGTAATTACAGAATACACACAGACTGTCCTACACCAGAACCATTCCTGACCCTGGGACCTGGATAACAATGAATTCATCTCTACCTTTCTGTAGAGAATAAACACAATCCATATAATTGCGGAAAAGTGAGTATTCTGTGCCATACTTCTGTGAAACTGAAATGAATTATTATTTTTATTGACTCTCCATTATCATTAGCATCATTTTATTTCTTTATATATTTATATATATACTTATATATTATATATAAATATACATATGTATATAAATGTGTATGTTATTACATGAGATATATTCACATTAATGAATATAATTAAGTTAAAGGCTGGTGCATATGTTATCTATATTGCAGACTCCTTGATGTATACTTGAAAGCAAAAACTATAACCATATTCTTTAGAGTCGTCATTTTCATTGATTTTAAGGTCAATAATTTTCTTACCATATCCACCTCCCTATTTTTTATGGTATCTCTCCAGTTACCATCATAATTTTCAGGCCCTGACTGGGTGTCATTCTCATGCTGCACAGTATCCAACACTTATAAAATGATTTTCTGAACATAAAAAACTCTTCTCATTCAACCCCTTATGGAAACTCACACTAAGCTTGGACAGCACTATGGCTGTAACTCCCCATATATAGCATCTACATTTACTGTTTCACAAACTTTTCTCACCAAACAACTTGCATCCCTCTGTCCTAAACTTAAACTGGGTGTCCATGTCCAATTGGAAGAGATATGGTATTCAGAGCATATGCAAATTTAAAAACTGTTGTACACTCAAAGATAATGAATGACTGCTTCTGAGAGGACACTCATATTTCTTTTTATCCTTTTTATTTAAGTTAGAAACAAGCTTGTTTCACATGTCAATCCCAGCTCCCTCACCCACTCTTCCTCCCCTGCCCCTCACCAACCTTTCCAATCCCCCACCCAATTCCCACTCTTCTTCCCAGGGAGGGTGAGGCCCTCCATGGGGTATATCCAGAGTCTGCCATTTCATCTGGGGCAAGACCTAGACCCTCCACTATGTGTCCAGACTAAGAGAACATCCCTTGATTTGGAATGGACTCCCAAAGTCCATTTGTATGTCAGGGATAATACTGATCTACTATCCAAAGCCCCATAGATTGACGAGGCCTCCCCACTGACATCCTAATTTAGGGGATCTGGATCAGTCACATGCTGGCCTCTCAGCCATCAGTCAGGGTTCCAAGTGCTTACCCTTGTTCAGGTCAGCTGTCTCTGTGGGTTTCACCAGCCCTGTCTTCATCACTTTACTCATTATTCCTCCTTCTATGCAACTGGATTCCAGGAGTTAAGTTTAGTGTTTAGCTGTGGGTGTCTGCCAATGACCTGTGTCAAAGGAGATTGAAATCTGGTACCTTAATCTGAAGTTTCACAGGAACATTGGACATGGATATAACTCTAGCCTAGTTTAGGAAGAGAGCTCTTTTGCACAGACAGAAGAGGAAAGATCTATAAACTCTTCTGGCATAGGAAGTAGTAGCCAAGTTGTGACAAATATAGTAAAACAATATTGCTTGCCTGAAAAAATAGGTTAATTATATAACATTCTGCCCTTCTTTGCAAACCACGCCTTCCAGTATTATTTTATTGCTATTCTGGGGGTATAGTTGAGCAAGAAATTGCATGGAACTTTTCCTCAATGGATACATTTACAAGAGTCTCCCATGTCCTAGGCTCAGGGAACATTTAGGAAAGTGGGTAGAAAGATTCAAAGAGCCAGAGGTCCAGGAAGTTTGAAGTGGTATTGAATTTTCTAGTAACAATAGAAACTATAACCATAAAATCTCACCAACATTGCAACTCAAATATAAATTGAACAAGACCAACACCAACAGCCATGGAAAAGTGGATAGGAAAAATCCCATGAGGCCTAAATTCAACAAAAGAACTAGAAATGACTGGTAAAGCTGAGAGAGGGAGAAGTTTTCCTCCACAGTGAAGAACATGCAATTCATTGGCAATATCACAAGATCTGCCATGAAAACATACCTATAAGACACATTATAGGGTCTCAATAGGTAATATTGATTAATATGCATGTGTATGTGAATATGTATATGCATACAAAAACAATTAATGAAAAAGGAAGCCATGAGTTAGAGAAAGAGCAATGATTTTAAAGGAGGAATGGCAAAGGGGAAATTTTATAATTAAAATTAGCCTCACAAACAAACAGGAGAAAAAACAGAAGAATATCCATGGCTTTAATATCATCTCCACCTACACATGAAAGGACAAGATAAACATTCATGTACTGCCTTTAACTGTATCATATCTAAGAGCTCCTACCACAGAGTAAAATATAACAAGAAAATTCTACAGCCTGCTGTCTGAAGATGCTGCAACTTACTTCTGCATTTAGGTTGATAGTACCCCTACTGCAGTGATTGAAGTCATTATATAAACAATCAAGGGAAACAGAAGTGAAAGCTCAGGCTGCCCCATTTGCTCCTTCTTGTGTTGCCAGCTGCTGATTGTGTTTTTCTTTGCCAAAATCTAAAGGTCAATATGAGGCTTATGCATAGAAATCAGAAAAAGTCCTATGTCCTAAATCTCTGTCCTTTTCCTCAGATGATGCATTAAAGCAAGAGAATCCTTATTATGACTCATGAGGCAACTTTTCTTGAGTTGTAGAATTATAGCAGCAGGTAGGCTTAATAAAACAGTGTTGTTAACACGCACACAAACATACACAGACAGATACATGCATGCACACATACACACACAAAGAATGAGTCTGGGGAATTGTTTACTCTTTAAAAGCACTGACTATTCTTTTTAAGAGGATCTGAAATTGATTCCTTACAACCACATGAATCCTATCTTTTGGTACTTCCAATTCAAAGTTTTGTGATCCAGTCTTCTGACATCTTAGTAAAGGGAACCCTGCCAGTATCAAAGCATTTCAACAATCAGTAAAGAGGAGATAATGAAAAGTGAGTTCAAATTGCCTTCATCACCTTGATTCAGACTTGGGGATTCTGATGTAAGTCACTTTATTCCTGACAAATTTAAATACAGTGTAATTAGGAAAACAAATATCAAAAAATGCCGCTACCCTCTCGTGATTGCTAGGGAGCTGTATTCACAAACTCTGTATATCCTGCGGGAATCCTGATTGTGTATGACAGTGGTGGGTCTCCTTCTTCCTTAAGTATCATTGGTCTGCAATGAAGGAGGGAGCAGAGTCTGTGAACAAGGTTCAGACACCTATGAATATGATGGAATAGCCTTCCAGAAGCCAACTTCAGTGACAAAGTTCAACTTTATTTCAGGACAAGGAGACTCTATAGGATGAACGCAGTGAGTGGGTCATCAGTTAAGTTTTGTTTGACTGCACAGACATAGCTTTTTGCAGGAATATATTACTTAATTGTCATATGGGGACATTTTCAGGGAACTGTCTCAAAGGTCACACTTCAGAAAAATCAGGCATCCAGGTTCTGGGACAGCTTGCAATTAAGGTGAGGCAGAGAGCAGGGAGTGCTGTTGGGGAAAGGGGAACTTCCATTTTGAGCTGAGCTCAGAGAACTGTCCATACATTTTGAGGTGCAACCTTAAGCAGAAGCATGTTTCAACAAATAATACTTAAAAAAACTTCTCACATGGGTATTATGAATCCATCTTCCATGCTACAGTTCTATTCAGCTGTCAACTTCTAAAGCCTACAGTCATCTGTAGGAGTCTCAGTTCAGGGATGGCTTAAATGAGGTTGGCCTGTAGGAATGGAGTTGTCTTGTATGCGGTTCAGTTTGGGAAGATACTGCTTACATTGTCCAGTGCCACACTGAGCCAAGTATTACTGTACTATATAAGAAATATAGCTGAGCGTGCAAGTCAGCTGTGAGGGAGTTTGTGCCTCACAATTTCCCTCTATAAAACTTGTATAGCCCAAACCTTTGAGGAAGAAATCCCTGTATTCTAGAATAGTGCTAGAAAATCTTGATTTCACCATTCAGTCTCCATGACTAAAAGGGCACCCATGTCATATCATAGCTCTTAGTTTTACTCAAAGTTCTTGTGTTAAAACATGGACTTCTAGCCCAGCATTGTTAGTACATGCCTTTAATCCCAGCATTTGTGAAGCAGGGGCAGACAGTTCTCCATGAATTTGAAGACAGATTGGTCTACAGAGTGAATTCCAAAACAGCCATGAATAGATAAAGTAATCATATGTAAAACAAAGAAATGAACAAACAAACACAAAGCAACCAAGTGAACAAACAAGCAAGCATGGATTTATTTTAGAATCACCAATGATACCTACACTCAGAAATCTCAGGTACAAAAACTATAAAAACCCCTGCTTTTAAGAAGTCATTGGGCTAGGCATTGGTGGCACATGCCTTTAATCGCAGAAATAGGGAGGCAATGGCCGGCAGATCTCTGGTCTTCAGAGCGAGTTCCAGGACAGCCCCAAAACAATACAGAGAAACCCTGTCTTGAAACTCCCCCAAAAACAAAATAAAGAAGTCATTGGAAGGCATTGCTATGTGTGAAAATATAGCATCCCCCATAGTCTTTTCACCAACACCTGCCAGTGAGCTTCAAAATCTTACTATATTTGAGAAATGCTGTCAGCATGACCTGGAAGCCCAGCTGAGGCAGCACAGCTTCACACTTCTGCTTCTTTGAGAGGTTTTTGTTATTTCTTGTATCACTGTGGAGGTATATAACCTTGCTGACAGTAATAAACTGCAACATCTTCAGGATCTAGGCTGCTGATAGTGAGAGAATAATCTGTTCCAGACCCACTGCCACTGAACCTAGATGGAATTCCTGTCTGCAAATTGGATGCACGGTAGATCAGGAGCTTAGGAGCTTCTGCTGGTTTCTGCTGGTACCAGTGTAAGTACTGGTTAATGTTCTGACTTGCCTTGCAAGTGATAGTGACTTTGTCTCCTGGAGATGCATACAGGGAGGATGGCAACTGGGTCAACTGGATGTCACATCTGGTTCCTGATTGATTGGGGAATTAGAAAAAAATCAACACAATTATTAAAGTTATAATAGGATTTTCCTCAAAGACTAGTTAACCACTTTGATTTGACTACTGTGATTTGAGAAAATAAATGAAATCATGCCTTCTTACCTGTAAGGCAGAGCATAAGAAGCCTCAGCAGTATAGTGAGGAATCTTCCATCCATGCTATCCATGCTGTATCCTCAGTTTGACTAACCCTCAGAGGGCATGGACAGCCTTTCAAGAAGTACTCTGAGAAGTGGGTTGTGCTTTGGCCACATGCAAATTAGCAGGGGCTTCTGGGAGGCACACCTGCAGATACTTTTCCTAATTACTCACTAAAGGCCCTTGTCTCTAAGGGTCTGCATATTTACCAGAGAAGTATAGACAATCTGCTTGCATATAGGAGCCAGCATCTAGAGTCTATAAGCAGCACATTATTTTTTTTTTGGTTTTTACGAGACAGGGTTTCTCTGTATTGTTTTGGAGGCTGTCAGTCCAGCCTGGCCTCAAACTCACAGAGATCCGCCTGCCTCTGCCTCCCGAGTGCTGGGATTAAAGGCATGCGCCACCACTGCCCGGCACATTATTTTAATATGAGTTCAGTATATGTTTCCTTGCTTCCATTTCACAATGTAAGAAATTGTCACAAAGACTACAAATTCCTTCTATTCGGCACAGTTTAAATACAGAGTTTAGAGATGATTCATTTTTCAATAATTGCTACGTATCCTTAGTGTGAAGTTGAAGTGTGAAACAAAGTCATATGCAGGATGGATTCTAATTAAGGGAATGATATGTCATGCCTAAACTTTCATGTCTAGAAAAACCATGTGTCTCCTCAAATTACAATTCCTTTGTCTCATTAATTCAAACAAGTCTTGTCAGAGTTGTAAGTGTCTGAAAACAATGAACTATATTGATAGAGCTCTGTTTGTAACTAAAATTAGCCATGGAGGGTATTTCCTATGTGCTTTGGTTACTGGATTTATTAACCACTTTTACTCAAGCCATTCCTCACAGAAGTTGAGGAGTCTTCTTATTATGTAGTCACTTACACTCTTAAATCCAATATACTTCCTAAATTTGCATTTTCTACCATCATCAAATCTCAAACAATGAAAGTATTATCGTATTATTTATTTTTCACAGTGCACATGTAGTATCTGTTTTTATGTTAAGTAAACATAAGTCATTTGAAAAGAGGGACCCGTAAAAGAGGTGTCCCCTGAGCCGGGCGGTGGTGGCGCACGCCTTTAATCCCAGCACTCGGGAGGCAGAGGCAGGCGGATCTCTGTGAGTTCGAGGCTGGGCTGGACCGATAGCCTCCAAAACAATACAGAGAAACCCTGTCTCAAAAAACCAAAAAAAAAAAAAAAGAGGTGTCCCCATCATATTATCCTGTTGTTCATTTTCTTGAATGAAGATTGATGTGCAAAGATCCACCTCACTAAAGGCAGTGCCATCCCTAGACTGATGGTCCTTTATGATATAAGAAAGCAGGCTGAGAAAGTTATGAGGAACAAAGAAGTAAGCCGTGTTCTTCCATGGACTGTGCTTCAGTTCCTGCCTCTAGGTTCCGGCTTTTCTTGAATTCCTCTCCTGACTTCTCTTTATGATGGAATGTGATATAGAAATGAAAGCAAAATAAACAATTTCCTCCCAAAGTTTCTTACAGCTAATTTTTTCATTACAGCAATAGAAACCTTGACTGCATTCTTTTGTAAGTAAATCTATGTAGTAAAAAGAGAAATACGAAGGTATGAAACTCTAAATTATGACAAAGTAATTTTTCCCACTTTATAGTTTCCAAATCTTTGAAATATTGAACCACATCATTAATGACTACTAAGACATCTCCCCTGGATATATGGAACAGGTGAAGGTTCAAAAATTTAATTTCTTAATGCCTGTATGAAGATGCTAAAATGTATGTTTCCTCTAGCTTGGTTCACTGCCTTTCTGATGACTGAGAACACCGTAATCTTAATAAGAGAAAGGGTTCCTTAGCACAGCCTAAGTCCTTGGCACTGAGAATTGGTCACATTTTAGGTATAGGATGCAGCCAGGATATCATAATCTTGTGAGACAGGGGGAAACAAAAATGTTCTTGGCAGTTTTTAGAAAACATTTTTCTTGTGAAATGAGAAACATTGAAACATGACAAGCAATATATTTTGTTTTTAAACATTGTAAATGATTTCTTTGTGAATTCCATTTTATTCTCTGGTTATAGATTTTAATGTAGTACAGCTGAGACATTTCATCTTTATTGCTGCATATTGAGATATTGGCATTTTCTCTAAAAGGTTGTCATCTACATGTCACCAAGATTTTCTTCCCCTTTCTCTAGGAAACTCATAGCATTTTTCTGTATATTTAGGGTTATGATACATTTTTGGCTACTTTTTGTGATGAATGATCATTGTTCAGAGAGATGAAATGGGATCATGGTAGGAAGCAACAGTGACCCCAAAGCAGATGGATCTGGAGTAGGAATCTACATTTTTATTTGTAAATCCCCATTTTTCCATTATTTCCTGACACTTTTGGTAGGTTCTGAGATCTGGCTTAGAATCCCCTTTGATGTTGAGGAAGAAAGTCTTGCTTTAGGTACCATTCCTTGAGATGCCCTCATCTTCTGTTCAGGGTTAGAGCTCAAATACAGCACTGCCTATTTGTGCTCTATTTGGGTTTCTTTTTATTTCCATGTACACCTCATGTCTTATTGTCTCATGTGTATTATCAGAGAGCACAGAAAAAAGAAACATCCCACATAAATTAATATGTGATTACATAGTTTCACAAAAAAAAGAGTTTATAGGTTGAAGTTTATAATTATTTGTTAAAAAGTAAATTCAGGTAACTGATTGGAATGAAACCTGAGTTTCTGTTCCTTCTAAATAAAACTTAACTTATGAAACACAGTTGAATAAAGAAAATCTTCAAAAGTTCCCCACATGACCTCATCTGTAATTGATAAAGCAGAAAGAACACACAAAGAACTTTCAGTACTATGAAAATCTAGAAGAAAGTACTCCCGATTTTTTTGTGCTACTTTCTTTATTACTTGCAGAATAATGTCTAGTAGGCATATGTCTAAGCCCTAAGCATATACCTACATAAAGTTTGAAAACTTAAATAACTTAGTCACAGAATTCCTTTCTACCCAACTGAAAATATACAATCCTTTGGAGGACCTTGTCCTTTTACATATAATCATGGGTCTCCAATCACTTCTGTTATTATCAGTAATTGAGCATACTATGCTCACTTCTCTGTTACAACCAGAAAGTTTTGTATCTTTGCCTTGGCATCTATACTATGCTAACCTCTAAAATAACATCAGTGTGTGAAATTATTCATATAAATATGTACCAACATATTTCTTTTGTTTTGTTATATGGATGAGTTATAAATGTGTGCAGGAAGATTCATTGTGTGCTATGATAAAGAGAATATCTCTCCTGATTTGCAGAGGCAGTTTTCATGTAATACATTCATGGAAATCAAGATAATTCTTCAGAATCAAAATGTAGAATCAAGAATAACAGCAACTAGGTGGGCAGTGGTGATGCATGCCTTTAATTCCAGCACTCGGGAGACAGAGGCACCTGGATATCTGTGAGTTAGAGACCAGCCTGGTCTATAAGAGCTAGTTCCAGGACAGTCTCCAAAGCCACAGAGAAACCCTGTCTTGACCTCACCCCCTGCAAAAAAGAATCACAGCAACTTATACTTTATTTGCTTACTTATGAGACAACCAAGTTCATTGCAAATGACCCCACACTCACCTTAAGAGCTGTGTAGAGGCTCTTCTTTAACTATTTGTTTTGGTAAAGAGTCTTTCTCTTTGCCTGGTTGTTTCTTGTGTGCCAGAACATTTGGTGGTGGCCTTATGAGTTGACATAGCACAGAGCAGCCTGGAATCAAATAGCAATGTTGAGTCTAGGGTTTCAAAATTCCAGTATGTGTTTTCATTTACTTGTGAATACTGCACATCAAAAACTCCAATTTTGATGTTATGTCTGATGCACATAAACATCATTTACTTTTAAAGCAAGAAGGGGATGCAATATTTAGGAAAAATAGATTTAGATTTAGAAAGAAACCTCATTAAAAGGTTTAAATCATATTTGAAGGTATGTTTTAGAGGTTAGAACATTAACAATGTATGTCACTTTGTATTTTATTTTAGTCTAGAACTCACAGTATAAACTAATGTATTCTCAGACTCATAAAAATCCTCCTTCCTTTGCTTTTTTTTTATTAATATTTTTTATTTTCCATTTTAAATTTAGATAAGAAACAAGGTTGCTTCACAAGTCAGTACGAGGTCCCTCTCCCTTTCCCTCCCCTCCTCCCGTGCCCTCCTCGCATCCCCCCCCCGTTATCCCCTCATTCCCCCAGGGAGGGTGAGGCCCTCCACGGGGGTGTCCATAGTCTGTCATTTCATATAGGGCAGGGCCTAGACCCTTTCCCAAGAGTTCAGGGTGAGAGTGCACCTCACATTGTTCTATGGGAGTCCAAAGTCCGTGTGTATACTTGGTATGGGTACTGATCTGCTGCCCAAGGCTCAATAGATTACCTAGGCCTCCTCACTGACACCCAGATTCAGGGGGTCTTGATCAGTCCCATGCTGATGCCTGGGATTCTAGAGTTAACCTTTGTCTGGTCAGCTGTTTCTGGGGGTTAAACCAGCCCAGTCTTAATCCCTTTGATCATCAGTCCTCCCTCTCTGATACTGGCTTTCTTGAGTTCAGCTCAGTACTTAACCAGCCACTAAATGTAGTTTCTGTTTCCCAGACTCTCTGGCCATAGGATTGTAGGCTGGCACTCCCCAGATCTATGTCTAAAATCCATATATGAGAGAGTACATGCCATGTTTCTCTTTTTGTGACTGGGTTACCTCACTCAGGATGGTTTCTTCTAGTGTCATCCATTTGCCTGCGAATCTCATGATTCCGTTATTTTTTTCTGCTGAATAGTACTCCATTGTGTAGATGTACCACATTTTCTCTATCCACTCTTCGGGTGAGGGACATCTAGATTGCTTCCAAGTTCTGGCTATTACAAATAAAGCTGCTATGAACATAGTGGAACAGACATCTTTGTTATATGAATGGGCATCTTTTGGATATATGCCTAAGAGTGCAGTTGCTGGGTCTTGTGGTAGGTTTATTCCCATTTTTCT